GGCTTTTTTCAGCCCAAAAAGTGGGCTGAAAAACTAGGCTTATACTTGAGTATATACAGTAATTTAAAAGAAAACTAGAAAGCTATAAGATATGACTCTATCCATTCCCCAGAGTCCGTTCCTAGAGATCATTAGCAAAAAGATGAGAATATTGTTTCTATCCTCTTTTTTGTCATTGCTTATTTCCATTCCAATTTCTCCCATTAAATTGTCTTATATTGGATCATTCTGGATCTTAATCTTCTCATTTATTTATATCATGCCTTTATTAGTTTTATGAGGATATACCTAACACGTCTTCCTTCTCCTATTTTCCCCACAACCACGATTCTGTGAAGTGAGATGGGCAAAGGGAAAGTGATTGGCCCAAAGTCACCCAGCTGGCTTTCATGCCTAAGGTGGGACTAGAGATCATGGTCTCCTAGTTTCTAGCCTGGAGCCTTAACTACTAAACCAAACTGACTCACTTTGAATATCATCATACAGAACTCTTCAATTTGTATTCTAACCCAACCAGCAGAGTAAAAAGAACCATAGATATTTTACAGACTGAATGTTCTGGGAACTGGGCCCAGTTTTAATGGAATTTTCAACAGCAATTCCTACAATCAGTGACTAGAAACTTTTTGAGAATTCTTATTAATACTAAATGTGGAGACTATTTTTCAGTTTTTCGAGAAAATGATGCAGTAAAACCTCTTTCTTTTATCCTGTAGAAATTCTTAGATCTATAGTGTGCATTGTACTCTTTTTTTAATGTGTACATGAAGATACTGAGGAAGGTTATCCACACATCAGGGATTAGATCATAACAATGCACTGAATAACAGCAAATTCTGTATCGTCTGAAATGTTGCTAAGGAGCCTAAGGTGGAGTCTTTGAACTGTACCCTTCAATGCAATGAGGGATTAGACATGGTGAAGAAAGTGAAGTTCCCCCGGCATGGAGGAAATTCTCTTGATCAGTAGACAATCAAACAGGGTAGTGAGGAATCTATCCCATTCAAGTTAGGGCAGCAGTATCTCTAAAAGGTCAGGTTTCCAATTTGCACATGACTTTGGATTCTGTCAATCGTCTGGGACTCGGATAGCAAGAATGGTTGAAAACGCCTCTGCATAGTTTTATTTACCAGCTACACACTATTTAGGGAAAAAGGATCTGGCTACAATGACTCATACCTTAATCACCTCTTATTTAGAATAACGTAGGACATGGGATTGCCCTTGAAAACATTCTGAAACTACACCTCATAGAAATTGCAGTAACTAAACTTCTGTAGCCACAGTTTCAAGCTTGTGTTTCTTTTTTGGCACAAATCATAGGATCAGTTTTCATCCACATATTCCTAGATTGTGTGTAGGATGTACAGGATTATCTTCATTAATGCTCCATAGTTTACAATCCTTACTGGAAAATCCATAATTAGACTAGATTGTTGGGAATTAAAATGGGGCATCTTTGATAGCGGCACCCTGATTGTTGCAGACAAGGTGAGATTGATTTACACTGTTTTAAGCAAGGGATAAAAATTGTTGTTCTATTGGGATTTAGAAGAATGTTCATGTGTTGTCATTCCTCAGTTTATTGTTGCTTTCAGGGATTCTCCCCCCCCTCCTCTAATGCAGAAAATGGTTTTCTGAGTTTGGAAAATATGCAGTATACAGAGAGAGGAGGGGAAAAGATAGAGAAAGGCAAGAAAACAGAGCTAAATTTCAACTTTACCACCGACCTGACACATGTTTGGTAGAATATAAAATGTAGAATATAGAATAACAGGGCTGGAAGGGACCTTGGAGGTCTTCTTATCCAACCTCCTACTCAGTCAGGAGGTTATACCTTCCAGACAAATGGTTATCTAATTTCTTCTTCATATTTCTCTCTTTGCAGTATTTTTGAGCATAGAGGACTTTGAATCCAAGTTGTAATATTAAACAGTTATTACTCTTTCAGGCATTTAGCATGGAAATATTTCTATAATCTCTCATGGATACACGATCAATACTATCTTGCTGTTTTTGAGGCTAGGGAGCTAGATTTAAGCTCTATTGATACAGACAACTTTTTGGCTTGTGTAAAATTTGCTCTGGTTATTGAGAGAAAGATTGCAAATTCCTTTGTAAAATGCACTCTCTTTTTTTTCTGTCCCTCTTTGTCTCTCCACACTCACTGGATATAAATGTAGATGCAGATATAGATGTGAATGTAGATATTGATGTGAATTCCACACAGTGTCTGGCACTGCTGCTTCCTTTGGCTATGGAGATATGTGTTTTCAAATCCTTTGCAGAAGCACCTAGCAGTTGAGCAGCAAGGGTGCTTTTAATGTCAAGGGTGATAGTACCTCACAGCTTCCTGCTTTTTAGGGCAGAGAACTGAGAGATCTCCTCTTCACACTGTTAAAATGCTGTTGTATGGTGTGAATGTGTTAGCAGTACATATAGCTCTCGTTATTCATATAGCTTTCATTTTTTACATTTAATTTAAAGAGATGCTGCTCTTTTTTTGCATTAGGACTGGAAGAACCCTTTTGTATTCTTTTAGGAGAGAAGTACAGTAGCCCAAGTGAGAAACTCTCATGTTTAACTCTTAGGCCTTCATCTTTTATGCTCCATCTTCAGCAGAAGTATGTGGCTGTGTCTTACTTAGGTTGTGTCTTACTCATCACTCATTTTATCAGGTCAAAAATCGTTAAATTAAAAGATAATTTAAGAATGATGAGATGTATTTCATTGTTGTGGGCTAAGTGCACTAAAGGCAATTGTATATTTTCAGGGGTGTCAAACTCAATTTCATTGAGAGCTGCATTAGGGTTGTGTTTAAGTCGTGGGGGAGGGTGTGTGTGTGGCTGGGGGCATGGCCAGGGTGGGCATGGCCAGGTCAACATCACTCATCAAGGCTCCATTTTTGGTTGCAACAGCCTCCTGCAGCCCTTTGACAGCAAAAATGGAGCTCAGGGAGGCTCTGCATGCGGCCTCTACATGCGGCCTTTCCAGGCTCCCTTTTCCTTA